GCTCCCTTACAGGTTGTCACATGCCATTTTGCATGTGGTTGGCTAAGTATCTGCAGGATTATACAAGATGCAAAGTCTAAATGTGACTGACAAACATAACCCTTTTTGCTGACATCACAATCTTTGTACCCATCAGAAGCTGTCTGTGGCCTTGCTAATGCCTTTGCAGTTGTAGCTGTCATTGCTTGTGCTGCTCGAAAACTCGAGTTTTCGAGCCTGAGTCACAGCTCTGCCTGAGGAAAGGGTGCATTTCAGACAGTTTTCCCTTGTGAACTTGTCAGATTTCCACATTACCTTTTGGAAGCAGGCATGTAAAGTGAACAGAGGTGAACCTTGGCTGCCCTGCACAGATCCAGCGAGCATGAGCAATGCCTGAGCTGGGGATTCACTTGTGTGCTTCCTGAGTTGATGTTATCAGCAGGGAAGGTTTTTGCCTCGGAGGTTGGTCTCAGGATTAGATGCCAAACTGCTCATGTAGGCTTCAGTTGCAGTGTGTAACACAGCTTTGAGTGACTGTATTGGGTTTGTGCACCACGTTTCACTAAGAGTTTGTCCTCTGCCTGCTACTGCTTCCTGTGTGTGTGGGTTGGGGAGGTTACTGGGATTTTCTCCTATTGCCTGCTCTGACTGTAGACAAGTGTGTGGTAGGAATGTGTCTGCCTTGGCAAATCAAATCTTGCATCACCCATCAGCAAGTATCATCGCTGTAGCTATGCTGTCATTACATTTGACAGCATAAAAAGCATTGGTTGCGTGAAAAATGGTTTGAAACATCCTCAGAGTCAGTGACAGAGGAGACAGGATAAGTATTTGAAGGGGTTAGAGATTTTTTTGGATTTTGATCTAGAGTAACATTGGCATAAAACACTCTGGAAAGCAATCAGACTGCATCTGCTTTATAGTGGACTTGCATATCTGCAAAGAAATACAAATGAAATTGTGTGGAAAACATAATTTTTTATGTGTAACATAAATGTATGATGGAGATTTGAGCTAAAACCAGTTTTAGTTTTGTGGCCGATGTAGCTTCAGAGAAAAACTAATGCTGTTGGTGAATGTCCTTGTATTGCAACTTTTCTTCAAAGGACAGGTTTTAGTCCAGTCAGACTTATTTGGTACCAGCTTTATTACAGAGAGTAAAGTAGTAGATTTCATTTTAAGAAAAGCTAATTTCCATTTGTGGTAGAAAGTTTACACTTAACTCTTGAGAAATATTTATTTAAAAACCACCCCAACAACACACACAGAGCCAAACCAAAGCAACACTGTTTTAGGGAACTGCTTTATGCTTTAAGTTTTAAAATTATGTCTTATTTTATAGTTATTTCTTTACACACAGCTTCCAGCATATGCCACAGTCACACAAAAGCTGCCCCTGATGACCTCTGATCTGACAACACTGCAGCAGGAAATATCCTCACAGCGTATTTTTTTGACAGAACAGAAGTCAGGAAGGAGATCTCTGCTTCTGTGTTGTCCTCTGGCAGTTAATTTGTTGACCATGTTGTGCCTAAACTATGAACTGGATCAGGCCTGAAAACTCAGCGATGATCCCCGATGTGGCAGAGTGAATGTGGAGGAAAGTCATGTGCAATCACTGAAGTTGGAGGGAATAGCATTTTGGGGAATAGGATTTGGCAGTGACTCCAAGGTGCAGCTCCTGACTGCACTGAACATTTTTTTCAGGCTAGGGATTAATTTAACTCTGCATGGCTTTATAATATCCAAGCACTGCAGTGCCTGTGGCTATGTACTGTAATAATCCTGAGCAGATCTCACTCTGAATGACCACCACACTGCATCCCTGTGGCTTAGGAGTAAACCTGCTTCCCAAAGCAAAAAGCAATAGCAGAATAAATAGATATTACAAATTTAAATATGTATAAATATAATACTTTTATTCATATAGGTGTTGCTTATAGCTTCTACCTTTACAGAAAGTGTGAAAAAACGAGGTGATGGAATCAATGAGTAATTGTTGACCTGGTTTGATTTCTACCTACCCTTCCATACCTTGTCCCCAAACACAGCTTGCTCTCCTAAGCTATTTTTTGCAGGTTTTATGAATCCCTTGAAAACAGTCAGGTGGACCTCAGGGATTTGCAAACACAAGGTTGGAATCCACATCTGTGGGTGTCAGAGCAAAAGTGACTTTTATGCCATAAACTTATAGGATTTTTGCTTCTCTCAGGGCTGTGTTTGAACCAAAGCTTTTCTTTAGACACTCTGAATCCTCCATCTGGTACCTTGTAATCGGGAGAGACAGAGGAAAGACAAAGTTTGATCTTCTGTATTTAATGGGCTTGATTCTGACTGTACATCTCTGTTGCTTCACTGACTTCAGGAAAGAAAGAGTGTTTCTCTGTCTTTCTGTGATTTCAGAATTGGGCCTGAAATTGATACTGGTATCACAAAAAGGAAAATACTATTAGGAACTAACAGTCAAGAAAAATGACAGAGCCTGGTTTTGAAAATGAAGCTAATTTATTCACCCGCTCCCCCGGCGGTGAGGCAGAAAGGAGTGGAAAGGCTGTGAAGTGATAACAGTGATGAAAGCTGTGGCATCCTTCTGTGGGCAGGCACTAAGGCTCTTTTAAAAATGTGAAGTGAGGTTTGTGACACAGTCACCATCTTCTGAGAAAATTCTGGATTTCTAATGTTAGGCTTAAGGCTCAAGAAAAAAAAAATTGCATCACTTCTGCCCACTCCTCATTCTTGTCTTCTGTATTCTGCTGCTTGGCATTGGCCATTAGCAACAGAATCACATTTGGTAGGTAGGGATCCCTATAAAAGTGCTCTGTTCAGCTCTTCAGCTGGAAACCAGCAAAATCCCAGTGCTGGTGGGTGTTCTGGAAGCACTTGCACAGGTGAGGTTTCTGTTGTCACTGGGTGTGCAGTGACCAGAGCCCACCTCAGACCGGGGGGGTCACCACTGTGACCGCATTGGCTCAGCTCTTGTTGAGAAACCTGAGGAAAATTAACCACACTGTCTGATGGCACTGAGTTAATCTCCCGTGCTTGCATGCTTAAATTAGCTTGGCAAACAAGACTTACCCTGGAGGGCAGCAGTAGATTGTAACGTGGCAGGTAGAGAAGCAGGCACTGCTATGCCTTGGGTACACACAGCACTTTCAGCGTGCCTTCATCTGTTGAACCCACGGTCAGACCAGCTGGTTTCTTCCCTGACTCCAGCCTGGCATTGTTCAAGCTTGATGGGAAGCATGGCCTGATTTAAGCTGTCAGTTTTTGTGTGTTGACCTGCTTTTTTCATGCTACCTTGTTGCTCCCTGCTCAGAAACTGGAAGGGGTCTTTTCTTCTTCTTCTCTCCTGGACTTTTATTTGGAGGGAGAAGAGATTTGGCCCATTGTAAATATTATTGTCATGGTAGAAATAGAGCTAAGATTGTATGTAATGTATTATACTATTTATTTGTTGTATAGTCCTGTAATATATTCCTTTTCCCCCATATTGAGTCTTGTGTTTTTGTCTGGAAAACTCACCTCACATGGGGATGAGATGTGGGAGGGGGGCTAGGAATCAGGAATTGGATTTTGAGGCTGTTCAAACCATGACATACCCACTGTTCTCTCTGTCTACACTGGCCTTGCTAGCAGCTCTTCTTCTTGTGGCTTCTCCAAAGAGGGCATTGAGAGCTAACACCCTCTTCTAGCTGATCAGGGACCCTGGAACAGCTTCTCCCGGCTCACACCTTGGAGCAGGCATTACATAAAGCTCCTCTCTCAGTTTACTGGGTTCTTGGCTTTTGTATCCTGGTGCTGGCAGGTCTTGGCAGTGATTAGGTGGAGCCTTCACCCAGGCATGTGTGGGTGATTTGTTATAAGTTCAAACCTTATCGCCAATGATGGTTCACTTATACTATATAATACATTTGTGATACTGTCTATAAAAAAATACATCTAGCTTAGTAAACTCATGAAAAGGAGTGTGTTAGTCTCTGCCAGTTTCTCCTTTCTGTTTATCATTCCTCCTTTTCACTAAATTCTAGCAGGGTGCTCCTCTATTTCTTGGCTTTCCTGTCCTCCAAAACTCTTCCAGTTGAAAGATGCTGACCGGATTTTCCTTTATGCACTAGGCTTGTGAACACAGTATGTAAATGTATTTAAATAAACAAAAATTTAGTATAATGGGGAGAGAGAGAGAAGCATAGATGATGTCAGATGTGGAATCCTGAGCAATCTACATCAGATCTGTGTAAGACCCTGGGCAGAGTGGCAAACACCCATGGTCATATCCTCTTTCTCCAGGCTGGATATGACTGCAGCAGCAGCCAGCTCCTGCATGCTTTTTTTCCTTGAGTGTATGTTGTCCATACCATGGCAAACTGGCTCAGAGCAGTCCCATCTATACCTAGATCTCCTGTTTCAAGAAGAATATGGGGCTTTCTATGACATTTAGGGCATTACTAATCAGAGATCAGTGAGGATTCTTATGTCACTGAGTGAAATCTGAACTTTGGAAACCAGTGAAGCTACTACTGCAAACTGCAGCAAGGCCATGATGACACATGTAAGTTTGAAAACAGATTTTGAGTTATCCTCAGTCTTTGCAGTCATATCCCCAGAAATCTGTGTTTTACCTTCTCCCAGGAACATTAAGAACAGAAGAGCATCTTGCCTCGTAAGCAAAGATGGTAGAATGATAGAGCCTGTAAACCAATGTTTTTAATAAGGGGCATCCACCTTCCCTCAGTTTCACTGCTGGCATTACCTCAGATTAGTGGTGTAATCCTCTCTCTCCTGTTTCTGGAGAATCTATTTTAATGTCTTGCTGCATCTGTTTCCTGCTCCATTCTGCTTAGAGTTTTTCCTCTTGTTATGTGAATCAGGCAACTGCTGGGATACTCAAAACCATTGAACCCTTTCAATTTGAGTTGTAGGCTTTCCCCATCTGTGCTGATAACTAACAGGGCTTCACTTTGCCATTCTTCTACTTGTATGTTTAATGTTTCTGCAGTGACTCTTTGCATTTTCTCTTTGTGGTGCTGTGGCATTCAAAGATGCCAGTAAAGATCAAAGCCAGGTTGAGCCAGCAATTTACAAAGCCCAAATCCATGAGAAAACATGGTATGTATCCCAGAGAGCTTTCATTCCTATGTGATGATAAGACTTTTTTAAGAACTTTATATAGGGCTGTCAGAATGTGAGAAGTTGTCTAGTTTGACTGAAAGGAAGGAAAAAAAGACAAGTTCCCTGGTAGGAATTTAGGTCATGTCTAGTGTGAGCAGCCTCCTGCCTCACTCCTCCTCTCCCATTCAGCTTCAGCATTTTTGAGCAAATAATAAGAAAGTTTCCTGCAACCTCAGAGCACCACCTATAAACCCAGACACTAAGAGTAGAGGCAACTCCTGCATCTGATTCAGAGGATCTGTGCACTGCAGGACTCCCCAGTAACACATGCCACAGATGTTTGTCAGTGCTGGTTTTTTCTTTCTTTAGTAGCTCTAGCATCTTGTTGAGTGCATAGCACAGAAGAAGTGACCAGCATTGCTCTAAACTGCCTGTTATTACCTCAAGATGGGCTCTTACTAAAATATTCAAGCACTATTTACTGTGTTCTGAGTATATAGTACTCTCCATAGATGTTTGCAGATAGTTAAGATAGGATACTAAGCAATTATGAAATGGAAGCGTTTCATGAATTTAATTTTCTGATATTCAAAGCACGAGGGAAAAGTACTAGTATTAATACAGTAGAGTCTCCAGGATAATTTTGCATGAAAATGTTACAGTTAAATATTTTGAGTAAGCTCTGCAAGTGCAGACTGGCCTGTGCAGCAGCCTGCTTACCATATCAGGAGCCACATCACTGAGAACTCTGTGGCCCTCAAGTGAAAAGTTTCATTTGTAAAAGGATCTTGGAATCATTCTTCCCCCTGCTGTTTTCATCATTTGACAACTGCCTTCACAGCAAGACACCATTTCCTTCTTGGCCTCATCTCACTCATTCAGTACCCACCTGGAACAAGCCAGACAGGTTTTCTACAGGCAAACAACAGTGTCATTTGAAGTAGACTTCTCTCAAAGCAGGATCCCTTTTGTACCTTTTTAGACAGGGTCTTAGAAAGCCAAAAAAAAAAAAAAAGGTTGCTTAAAGATCTCCCATTTCTATGAGTCTTAGTAAACGGACCTGCTTAGAGTGTTTGAGGGATTCTAAGATATTGCTGATGACAGCTGAAACTCTAACATTTTTCTCACCTATTTAGTTTCCTTCCCTCGAGGTTTACATTTTCACTTGCTTTCATGCAGAAAATAAATTCCATGGAAAGGAAAGTCTTAATAACTAGCCTGTAGTAAAGAATATGGCATAACTGGCATAATTCCTTCTGTCTGAGAAGCATGAAGATTGCATCACTGAAGACTGTGCCTGTAAGTAAATTAATAAAAAAAAAAACAAGTTCAGGAAATTAAATTCATTATGAAGATAATGGAAAATTCTGATTTTCCTTGCTGCTGTAGTCACGCACACTTTAATTGTTGCCTGAAAGAGTCAACACCTTGTAAAGAAAATAAACATCCTCTTCTCTTAAGACACTCTTCAGTTTTCTAGGGATAGGTGGTGGTCTGTTTTACTGCTAGCCTGGATCCAGTCAATGCCTGAGCTTGTGAGTTTAAGGGAATGTCTGCACTTCCAGGTGCCATTGACATTCATCTGTCCCATAATGGCTGCACCCAAGAGTCACACAGAACTCTTCTCAAGCACATTGAAAAAATCCTGTGACATAACTCCACTGAATTGAATGGAGTATTCAAGCTGTGTTTCAACCTACCCTGTTACATAGTGTTACATTCTGTTCATCTTTATTTAACAGGGGTAAACATGGTTGAAGTGTTTGTAGCCAGAGGAGGAGGCAGCTGTGCACTTCAGTGCTGGGGATGGCAGGGTTTGGTGGAACAGAGCAAGGAGCTAAGAACAGATAATTTTGCCCAGCTTCATTTGTTAATCAGTTTATTTCACTTTCTCCAGTTTTGCAAATCAGACATAATCAGGTTCCCTTAATAGCTTGATAGATCTGTGTGTTCAATTATACAGAGCAATGTTATTCATAGGTCCTTTTAATTTCCCCATATAGACTAGTCTTATTAATATTTATTTTATAATCTACTTACAAATTCAGAGTGGGTAATCTCTGTCTAAATGAAGCTGCTGTTCATACAGAGCTCTCTTTGTTTTCTTTGAAGAAATCATAGTAGCACTTAGCATTGTGAAAATCTTAAAGCACAGAAAATATAATTGTGAAGCATCATTAACGATGCCAGCGCCCAGAATGTTTGTCTACATGATCTTCAGGGTCCCTTCCAGCCCAAACCATTCTGTGTTGCCAAAACAGCTGGCAGGAGGGAGCATACTGAAGCCTCAAGTTCAGAAACACTGAACCACTTTAGGTCTCGGCCCCTGCCATTGTGTTTAGCTATAAAAGTCTTGTTAAGATGTTTAAGAAGCCATGTGCTTGGACAATGGTAGATTTCCTGCTGAGGTCCCAAATGACCCAACCTCTGCCTCCTTTCACCTGTTGATTCTAATCAATGGTAGCAGAGGGGTGGGGGAAAATATTGAGCAGGCTTCTTGAAAAATGCAGGGTATGACCTAAGGATGATTGCAGCTTCTTCCAGTTCTGGGCATTGGGTTGTTTCTTGAAACATGAGGAACTGTGTCTGTAGAACCAATCTGGAATATATTCACTGTGTGTTTCTTGGAAATTTGTAAGTGGGTATTTGAAGGACTTAGGCACCCTTCAGTCCCTGTCAGTGGTAACAAGTGTTTTGTGAAGCATTTAGGCACACGCACAAGCCTGTCCCTACTCAGTAAAGCACTTCACTGTGCTTTTAAGCCCCTTGATTTCTACTCTTGGGTTTATCAGCAGGAGGTTTTTCAAAGGTAAGAGGCTGTCCTTATCTCACAAATGGGCTAAGCTGCCTTATGGCAAAGTAGTTCTCAAAACTGTTGGTTCCACAAAATGTGAAAGTTGTTCTCCCTCCCCTGCTGCAGTGGTCCATGACTTTAGGACCATTCCTTTCTAATCTGTGCATTTGGGAAATATTGATTCTAACAATGTCACTTCTGCTTCTTATTCCCTCAAACTGGCACTAAAAATCCTGTGTATTTTACCCAGATTGAGGCATTTGCAGGATGATGCGTCCATGTCACTCATTACCTCTGTAAATGTTCCTGTTCTTGCATCAACTTGTTCAGGACAGTTCTCTTGGATGTGCACAAATGAAGCAAGGAAGATCAAACAGATGTTAAAGCAGGAAGAAATGTCTCATATTTCTTCATAAGATTTTGTACAGAAAGACACCACATTGAGATTGAAAACACCACACGGATTCTTGCAGCTACATGGAAACTTTTATTGCTTCTATCCCCTTTTTGCCCTGAATAGCTGGGCAGATTTTGGGGTGGAGGCAAAGGATGTCCAGGTTTCCCTGCTGACTGGGGATGATGCCAGAGATTTTTGACATTCAGGTATCATTAGAGTCATCTTTTCTGATGTTCTTTGTAGTCCTGACTAAAGGGCTTCATCTGGTAATGCTGAACTAAATTATCTCCAAAAGTACCCATTTGTGACATAGAAACAAGAAAGCATTGTACATCACTCTGTAAACTGGGCAAGTGTCTGCTCTCACAGTGTAAAAATGTGCACTTCCAACTCATTTCACTCAGTTTTGGATCTCATCATGAGTTTTTCTTCCAAGTTAAAGCACAGTAACCAGGAAGGGATAACAAGAAAAATTGGGGATGTGGAAAAACTTTTTTATGAAAGACTGACAAGATTGATGCTGTTCACTATGAAGAAGCAGTAAATAAGAACAGATATGAAAAGGTCTCTTATCATTTGATACTGTGAAGCCAAGAGGGGCCTCTTGCCTTTGCTCCTTCTGCCATGACAACAGGAGATAGAGATATTCATTTAAATGAAAGACCTAACAACTGTTTGAAAGGAAATTACTTATTTTTTCCCTACCCCATATTTTTAGCTGTTTCAAGATATCATAGAGATGAAGAGATTAGTGAGTTGTTTTTTAAAGCATGCTTATTCATAGACAGAATACTCCATTATAAATCAAATGTGACAATACTACAAATAAACCAAAACCAAAAATGCTCAAAATATTTGAAAGAATCTTAGTGTTACAATGCCATGGTTGGTATGCAAAGCTCCTGTACTTTCAGAGATTTGCTCCATGTAATATAAAATGTAACAAGAGTCAGAGGGATGAGAAACACAAAAGACTTCATGGAAATGCAAACTCTGAATAATGTTCCTTCATAAATATATAAGCAGCTTCTATGAGCATCAACTGGACATAACGTATTATACTGAATCTAAACAGTAGATATAAAACTGTGAGTTGGAAAGTTAAAGTTACTTAAAATGAGGGATAAATTGTGTCTCCTGGTATGCATGTAAGTAGGTATTTAGTTGAGACACCAGTAGTTTTAATGTCTAATTGACATGGTTCTTGAGGTTTAGTATATTCTTCTCAGAGAACTTGCTGATGTTTTCATTTTCTGCTGTCTTTCCAGCTTAGCAGCAGAGATTATTTGATGCTGAGGTTCTTAGCATGCTTTTGTTATTTACAGATGACATGGGTAATCCAGAAACTTGTCCAACAAAAAAAACAACCATGCAGCCAAGTGAACTGGAAATGAGTAGTGTATGTGGTAATGACAAAAAAATAGCAATCCACTTAAAAAAGAAAACAACACAACGACCAACAAAAAGAGCTCACTAGGAACTCCTTGTAGAAAAGGTTTGACAAGTCTGAAAACATTTGGCAGCAGATGTGTCAGCAAGAGTTTTATCCTGCACCCTGATTTGCTTTCTGATTCCTTAATTGTCGAGCTGGGCTCCGGTATTTTAGTTTTACTGTAAGAATCCTGGCTCCAGAAGGGTAGTTGCAGTCATTTGGTGGTGTTAAATTTAGCATTCATCTCCCTGACTAAACTCTGTAATGCTGAGGGCTTGGTATGCAGTCATTGAATCCTCTGCCTGGAGGTGCCTCAGGGCTGCAATTTTTATGGTTTTCCCATCTAATATTGTGCTGCATTCCTGAAGGTATCAGGGTATGAGGGGAGAGAGGGAATAGGGGGAGACTGATGGAGAAGTATGAAAAAGGGAACTCACAAGAAGGGAGCCAACAAGAAAGGTGGAGAGAGATTCCAACGGGATGAGGTTCCACAAGGCCAAGTGCCGGGTCCTGCACTTTGGCCACAACAACCCCCAGCAGCCCCACGGGCTGGGGACAGAGTGGCTGGAGAGCAGCCAGGCAGGAAGGGAGCTGGGAGTGTGGATGGACAGGAAGCTGAACATGAGCCAGAGTGTGCCCAGGTGGCCAAGAGGGCCAATGGATCCTGGCCTGGATCAGGAACAGTGTGGCAGCAAGAGCAGGGAAGTGATTCTTGCCCCTGTGAGGCCACCCCTGGAGTGCTGTGTCCAGCTCTGGGCCCCTCAGTTCAGGAAGGACATGGAGGGGCTGGAGCAGGTCCAGAGAAGAGCAACAAGGCTGGGGAAGGGACTCAAGCACAAGTGCTGTGAGGAGAGGCTGAGGGAGCTGGGGCTGTTCAGCCTGGAGAAGAGGAGGCTCAGGAGAGACCTCCTCACTCTCTCCAACTCCCTGACAGGAGGGGGGAGCCAGGTGGGGGTCAGGCTCTTCTCCCAGGAACCAGCAGTAGGACAAGAGGGCACAGTCTTAAGCTGTGCCAGGGGAGGTTTAGGTTGGATATTAGGAAGAAATTCTTTACAGAGAGGGTAATTAGACATTGGAATGGGCTGCCCAGGGAAGTGGTGGAGTCACTGTTCCTGGAGGTGTTTAAGAAGAGACTGGATGTGGCATCAGTGCCATGGGCTGGGAACCACAGCAGGGTTGGATCAAGGGTTGGACTTGATGATCTCAGAGGTCCTTTCCAACCTGGATGATTCTACGATTCTATGATTCTATTTACAAGGGCTTGGAGTGACAGGACAAGGGGGAATGACTTCACACTGACAGAGCACAGGGTTAGATGGGATATTGGGAAGGAATTCTTGGCTGTGAGGGTGGGGAGGCCCTGGCACAGGTTGCCCAGAGAAGCTGTGGCTGCCCCTGGATCCCTGGAAATGTCCAAGGCCAGGTTGGAGAGGCTTGGACCAACCTGGGCTAGTGGGAGGTGTCCCTGCCCATGGCAGGGGGTGGAACAAGATCAGTCTGAAAGTCCTTTTCAACCTGAACCATTCTGTGATTCTATGAAGTTATACACTGTCCTTCACCCTCCTCCTAGTCTAATGAGATGTTCAGGGATCCCTTTCAATGATGCAGCAGCTGGCCGTGATCCATGAACCAAGGGTTGTTCCCTGGGAGGCAACATGCCTCTAGCCAGGAAATTT